CAGGAGGCGTTTGGCCCCCCCAGGTTCGGCAGGAGCCGCCTGAAGGCAGCCCCGGTCCGTTCCAGTTTGGGAGCCAAACGTCGGAAGTGCTCAACGAAGTTCCATCGGCCGTCGAGGACGAGTCCTAGGTACTTCAGCGTCGACTCGACGCCGATGGATACCCCTCCTACCATCACTGAGGATCTCGGTGGTGGCCTGTTCCGAGGACCATGGAAGTGCATGGCCTCGGACTTGTGCAGAGCCACCTCGAGACCCAGTAGCCGAATCCTCTCAACGACTATCGCAACCCCGCGTGTCATTGTTTTCGCCGCCGCCTCGTACGACCCCCTTATGCCAGTACCAGCGTGTCGTCAGCGTAGCAAACTACGCCCGGGTAGGGAGGTCGGCGCGCAGCACCCAGTCGTAACCGATGTTCCACAGATGTGGCCCCAGAACCGAATCCTGTGGGACACCGCACGACATCTCTCGCCGGTTCCACTCACCGTTGCGACCGGGGTAGATGATGGCCCGGTCCGTCAGATAGTCCCCGACTATACGACGGAGATAGGTCGGCACCTGGTGATACCGGAGTGCCTCCCTAATGCAGCTCCAGGGCATGGAGTTGAAGGCGTTGGCGATGTCGAGAGACACCGCCAAGACCACCCCCCCCTCTGGCCACTGCATCCCCCGTCGTAAGAGCTCTCACGCGCATGATGGCGTCCACTGTAGAGCGCCTCTTGCGGAACACCAGTTTGGTGTTCCCACGCCCCGTCCCCGCAAGGTGCTCGGCGAGGCGGTTTGCAACGACTCTTTCAAAGAGCTTGCCCACCTCGTCGAGCAGCACCACGGGCCGGTATGCGGACGGAGAGTCCGCGGGGGCGCCCCGGCTTCCGAATGAGGACCAGCTTCCCCGTCTTCCAACGAAGCGGGAATTGGCCTCTCTCCAAGCATGCGCTTAGGAGCCCCTCCAGTCGGGGCGCGAGAGCCTCTGAAGCTTCAACCCCCATGCGTTTAAAATTACTAACTTTCTTCAGTATCGGCCTTAATTATCACGCTTAGCAGGTATATTTATGATCGTAGTATCGATCGGGGGTGTGGATTTTTCGTTCTGTGTAGATCAAACCATAAGTAATAATTAAAACTGAAGGTATTGCGGGCTAACACCCTCATCGGGACGTCAACCACCTAAGTCCCCCGTGACCATGGGTGCTGGAAAGTACCCGAAGTGCCGGTAATAAAAACCAAGTTAATTAAACGCGATTAATGCCACTAAATGGTGTATAAAATGTAAAAAATACTTTTATAAATAATATCAGCCACATAACAAAGACATTGCGTAAGTATCATCAGAAACATCTTAAGTGATAAGTGTACAGATCAATCAACTACGTATTGATAGGGTATATATTATATATATTATGTGTAACTATACTAACTATATATATATATATATATATATATATATATATATATATATATATATATATATATATATTCTGATTATTATTTTGAAAGTAACGAATGCTATATGGATTAACTTACATGAGGAGTTCTTAAAATTACCCGACAAAACATCTGATTCGAAAAAAATTGCTGATGGATTTAATATCAAGGCCGACTTCCCTCACTGCATTTGTGCAGTTGACGGGAAACACATAAACAATAAAAGAGTCAACTAACAGTGGTTCAATGTATATCAATTATAGTCAACCAAATCTAAGAAATACCTTTTGACGTTTCACATTAATCATTCAGTAATAACTTTGCACAAGCGTACTCATACGATTTAAAATAACCTTTTGTGTAAATCCGAAGAATTATAAAGTAATCTTTATTTCTTTACAACATGTATAGTTTTTTATCACTAATTTAAATTTGAATCTTTCAAACAAAGCAAAATATTAAAAAATAACCAGTATCAACTTTTCTTACTTGACGTCGTTTTAATGATATGTCGCTATGTAGATAACCGTAGTGTTTGGATTATTAAAATTCATTGTTATGCGAATAATCGGCAAAAATATTCAAATAATCGGTAAAAGTATTCAAATAATCGATTAATAATTTTAATTTAATTTTTATTTTTAAAATTCCTTAAATTACATGAATCATGAATAAAAAAAGTTAATTTTTTAATTTGTCAACGTAAATTTGTGTAAGGAAAAAAAACTTATATACAAGGCCGCGCTGAAAAAACCACTACGTATTTTCAATATCCGCCATTTCGGGAGCTTACTGTGCGTAATGTTGTGATTTTGTGTTTGTCTTCTTATTTTGTGACTCGGGTTTAACTTTTTGGACTGTTTCTTTTATATTCGTTGAAGCATGTGCCCATGTCAAAAAGGATCATTGGGTGGTAGAAAAAAAAAACAAAAAAATTATTATAAATGACTTTGACAGAGACATTAATTTTGACTGCAATATCGCTCAATATCTTTAGCTACCGTAGTTGCGAAGGTTCTGGACAGTTTGCTTGATCAGCAACTCAGCCAACACATTCACCTACATGAGGCTCAGTTTGGTTTCAGGCCGGGGCTTTCAACTGAAACCGCCATGCTGCGACTCAAGCATACTGTCCAGTATTACACTACGTGAAAAACGCCGATTTACGCGTGTTTCTTGGACATGTCGAAGGCATTTGACCTGGTTTCGTACAACGTTCTATGGAATAAACTTAACCAGGAAACTAGAACACCCAAAGAAGTAATTAACCTCTTCAAGTATTGGTATCACAACCAACCTAACTGTGTGAAGTGGGCTGGCTCATATTCGTCGGAGTACAGGTTGGAGTGCGGGGTGAGGCAGGGTGGCCTTAGCACCCCTCAACTTTTTAACCTGTACATGAACGGTCTGATCGTGGAGCTTGGTGAGGCTGGAGTCGGCTGCTCAATTAAAGGTCATTTTGTTAATAATATAAGCTATGCCGATGACATGGTTTTGCTGAGTCCTTCGATCAGGGCCCTCGAAATGCTAGTGGGCATCTGTGAAAGGTACGCGGTGGCTCATGGTCTCAAATATAATTCTAATAAGAGTGAACTACTCGTGTTTTCACTCTTATTAGAATTATATTTGAGTAAAAAAGTATTTTTTAACTTTTTCACTTTCTGCTATTGTCTTTGTAATATTGTATACGAGGGCGTTTGTGTTGTCGTAGATGCTATCCTTATTAGTCCTTACGTAATATTTAATCCTCGTGGAAGCATGTTTCCAATGATCAGTAGTTGGAATCTTGGATAGCTTCTTCATATCGTACATTTCAATTTTGATGAGATGCGTCGCTTGGTCTCCGTCTTCAGAATTAGTAGAAATGTATGATACACCATCTCTAGCGGCTCGTGCTACGGTTGATGATAACAGCTTCCTCTTTTTTTATTTTTGATTCAGCTTCAAAAAAATGATCAATCGATTGCGATTTTCTTTTTCCACCATCGCATGTGTTATTATTAATGACGATGTCATCACTCTCTTCTTGAGGGGAGAGTGGCGAGTAGTAATACTGTTTATAGGTATTTTCATCGAAGCTCAATGATTTCTGCAACAACACAGTTATCATGTTAATATCAATTTGTTAACACTTAATGTTAAACTTGGAGGAGTTACACTGAGTAGAGTCATCAAATTCAGATATCTGGGACAATGGGTAGCCGAGGATCTTTCTGACGATTTAGATGATGAACGGGAACGTAGAGCGTTGGCAGTGAGGTGTAATATGCTTGCCCGCAGGTTTGCTAGGTGTACGAATGTAGTTAAGATAACGTTAATCAAAGCTTACTGTCAGAAATTCTACTTTAGCTAGCTAATACGTGGCAAATATTTCATCGTCCGCTAGATGTGAATACCGACACAGGAACATCGATCGTAAAAGCTTACACAGTACTTTATAACCTTATAATTGTGGAAAAAACTGCAAAATTAAATTGACTTGCCACCGTAGGTCATATCCATTTTTAGGTATTGGTACAGCATCCAAAAGAACAGTGTGAAATAGCCGGGCGTGTACTCGGATCGTCTCATCAATATAGTCGAAGTCAATTAAGTACGTCTTAGGATAACTCATTAAAGCAGCTTAACTTACATTTTTTCTTCATGGGATGACAACGCATTTCACCCATACACCATCAGTTGGATTACCACCTTACCAGTCTCTAAGTTCTATAAATTCACATATTTTTCACATCTTAAACTAGCTACATATTTAACACAAACAATAAAAACTAAAAGGAATAAAATCCTTAATGTTATTACAACGAGTATTTTATGCAGAAACTTTGAACACGCAAATCTATATTTAAAGGCAATTTATTGTAACCTGATTAAAGTACGGTTTAAGGCCAAACTACGCCAGCAGTTTAAAAGTAATTTAAAAATTATTTACCTAAACGTTTAGTTGTAACTGCGGTCAAACAAAAAGCAAAGCAGTAACACCGCTTCCAGAACAAATCGGAATTGTATACTTATTTCTTTAATATTTTGTCATCCGTTTTGATACGGCCATTTACTTTTATTATTTTATTTACTTTTTTTCTAAAATATAACATAACCTTTTTGAGATTTTATAAATATTTTTTATCATTTATTTCTTTAAATAAGCTATACTTACACGTACACATAGATACTCAATATTTTTTTTAACCCTTAACTACCTACCTCCTATTTTTGTAACATAACCACCTACCACCTGTCTTAGAGACGTATGTGTCAAATTACCCTCGCATGTATAATATTTGTAATTGAAAGATTATGGAAAATAAAATAACATTTTAATTATATTAGAAACTATGTATTATATTAAGAAACACAAAATAAAAATGATTATATTTTGCATAATCTGCATAACAAAAACCATCTCACTTTTGTTGCTACAAAAATACAGTCTTTGGATAATGAGAACAATAAAAAAATTACAAAAAGATAATGCTTATTCATTACTAATTTTTAATTATTCAATAATCAACAAAGAGATAAAAAATTTTATTTACTTTCTAGAACAACTCAATCAACAAAATTGCAGACCATAAACTTTACATTTTTTCACGGCAAAAATTGCACAGTTTATTAGAACAATCGAGGCAAATGGGTACCTTACATTCGAAACAAATATATTGGGTTCTGCGTTTCTTTTTCGGGTCACAAGTAGAATATGTCTTGCGAACAGCTAACCTTTCTTTAGCATGGCTGCCACCTGGAACCTCTGCTGGAGTCGCCTCGTCTTTGTGATGGAGTATACGTCGAAGAGCGATTTTTATATGCCGTTGCATCTGAGGATTATTTTCACGGCGCTCCATATGTGATCTTGTGAGCTTTTCGGCTAATTTCTTCAGGAATTTGAATCTGCTTTCAGTTTTTTGAGTTTGGCCTTTAGCAGATAAGCTGACAACGTAACAGTTTGAAACTGAAATATCTAGCAACCTGTAAAATACTGCCAACGGCCATCTACGAGTGCGACGGCCTGTTGAGTAGTTGGCTCTTTCTATCGATCTCTGATCTAGTAAATCTACACCAATTTTGGTTTCATTATAATATAGTATTACATCCGCTTTCTTTGTAGTATTATCAATATTTGCAGTATGGTGCATACTTGAGACGGTAATCACTGCTTTGTTTAGTTTCGGCAAATATGATAATATTGTAATATCTTTTGTAAATCTAAATACAGTAGTATCAACATTTCTGTTAGGAGCGGGCAAAAATTCTGGGGGAATTACTCTTTGATTCTTTCACAACGTACCAACAACTGTCAGCTGCTTCTTTTTCATTTGTTCCAATAGCTCTATAGATGTGTACCAATTGTCGGTAGTCACGTTTTGATTAGAACCTTCAATTGGAGGTATAAGGCGCAGAACTGCCTGAGTTGGTTTTTTCAGTCTTTGATACTCTGCAGACAAATTGAACCCATCGGAATCCTTTCCCAAATAAATGTAGGCATTGAGCAAGTAGCCCGATCTTGCATCTGTAAGGCACTGTATTTTTATGCCATATTTGGCTGGTTTTTTGGCATATATATCTTGAAGCGGCATCTGCCACGAAATGCCAGTAACATTTCATCGATACATGCACAACTTTCGATTGCATAAACAGCTTGACAACGGTTTATGAAGGAATCAAAGAGTTCAGAAATAGGAGCAGAAGGATCGTGCTTTAGACGTACCAGTCTGGTCTCTCCGTCATCAAAACGAATGGTTTTGAGCAACACTTCAAATCGATTTTTACTCAAAATACAACGGTATATTTCCCTTCCTGTACCGTCCATGCTATACCATGACGAATAGTGTTCGCGGTTTTCCTTAAATATAGCTGTATAGAACAGGAATCCTATGAAAGCTTTCAATTCAATTAGATCCATATCTTGAACACAGGTTTGCTTTTGATAGTTAGATCTAATCTCTCTTATTTTCTTATTAGTGTGCAAAACAATGTTTTCGAGCATTTCGTCAGTAAAGAACAACTTCCATATGTCCAGTGGAGAAGATGAAGAATTTATTTGATCTCGGTATTCGGGTTTGATACCTTCACGCTCCCTGACAATATTATGCTCTAATGTTCTTGTACGTGAAGACGAAGGAACAGATGCCCAACGGAAACGATTCTTTCCAAAATAGTTTTTCTTTCTACGCAATACTGCCAGCGACGTGTCATCTTCCGATGAAAAGTCAGAGTCTGCAGTTACAGGATCAGTAAAATTTGAAGATGGTTCGCTATTACCTTTTTCCGATGACGCCAGATCTTCCTCACCATCAATTTCTGAATCCGATCCGCAATCTTCTCCTACTACTTCCTGTTCGTCAATATTACTTTCGACTTCACTGCATTCATCGTTAGGCAGATCATCTTCATCTGATAACTCATTTTCTAACAAATTTTCAATATTCTTTTCCCGTAAAGCCATATTTCACTGAAAAAATAAAAAAGGAACATTTGAGTTTAGTCACGCAACCACCTACCACCCGTCTCCGAGACACTCGACGACAGTTTTTTACTCACCACAAGTAAGCGAGCGCAGGTGTAGCGTCGACGAGCGCATGCGCGGCACTGAGGGGCGTGGAGGGAAGGTACTCGAACGCGCATGATTGTAAAGTGTAAGGGAGTGAAAATATTTGTGATTTTAAAGTAGCTTCCGTCTGGTAGACGGGTGGTAGGTGGTTAAGGATTAATTTTGCGCGTCACTTTCTTTTATACTAATTGCACTCAAATTTGTAGTGTTATGCTACTTACATACCATTTTACACTATTTTAAATTTATTTTTCCATTCTGTTTTTGATTTTCTGCATTCATCTCAAAACTGGATATTTTGCATCACCTTTATTTCCATAGGTACCTGTAACATTTTTAAACCATAAGAACACAATAACAAATCATTTTCACGTCGTATTTTCACGTTATCAGCACTTTTTAAATCGATGTCAATGGAGTCTACCTTTTTCGATCTTTTATTTAGTTCTCCGTAACTCTGCAATTTCGGGCTTCGTGCGCACTGTTGCGCTACCTTTTTTCCTATATCAATAATATCTCATTTTTCACTTAAATCTTGCCGTTTCTCTATTACGAGCCTAAAACCAAAATTTGACATGTTTTGACATCGTTGTTTATCTGGTTGTCATGGCAATTTTTATTCAAATATCGTTACCGGCCTGATGTTTTTACTTCAAAAATACTCTTTTCTTCTTGGCCATTTACAAAAATTTGCTTTTAATTTAAATAATTTCAAATAATTTCTCGTTCTTATCCCAGATCCGTCAAAAAGTATAAAAGTCGAGGAATCGGCGAATAGACGTTCTCACTTCAGCATTGATACGTGAAGCACCTCTTAAAGGCTTTATCCGCACTGCCTCGGGATCTTGCAAGCCTCTGCCTTCTCCTGAAGTCGTCGCCTAGCCACGCCTACGCCTCCACCTATTAGTGCCCGCGCTATCTTCGGCCGCTGAGCGTGCTTGTCTCAAGCGCTGCGTGTTCCTACTCCAGACGCTGCGTGTCTCCGGCGCTCCGGGCGCTGTGTGTGTACTCCGGGCACTGTGTGTGTCTACTCCGGGCGTTGTGTGTGCTTACTCCGAGCGGTGTGTGTGTGCCTATTCTAAGTGCTGCGTGTACCTGCTCAATACGCTGTGTGTACCTACTCCAGACGCTGCGTGGACCTACTCCAGACGCTGCGTGTCTACTCCAGGCGCTGTGTGTCTACTCCGGGTGTTGTGTGTGCTCATTCTGGTCGCTGTGTGTGCCTACTTCAAGCGCTGCGTGTACCTAGATTAGGCGCTGTGCATCTACCACAGGCATAGCCTGTACATACATTGTTTCCGTACTCATTTATCTCTATTAACTTTTATTTTTTTTTTTAAATTGTAATTCACTATCATCACTACAGCCCATCATCACCCTCATACCTTTTTTTTTATAAAAAAAATAATATTTTTTTTATAAAATAATAGCTGTAAATATCTTTACAATTTTTTTAAATAAATTATTTTCTTTTTGGTTGTTTCGTTGTTAGGTTAGGTTCTATAGTTTTTAATTGTGGCTTTACATTTTATAAAAGAAACTGTAAATATCTTTACAAATTTTAAATAAATTATTTTCTTTTTTGGTTGTTTCGTTGTTAGGTTAGGTTCTTTAGTTTTTAACTGTCGCTTCACGACAAATTTCATTGTACATAATCGCTTAATGAAGGTGACCTGACAAAGTGAACTTTAAATGTAGTTGTTCATTTTGAATAAAATGCTCTCCCTTAATTATATTTTCTCTCTTTCTTATAGTCTTACTTTGTGTTGCCGTAGACGATGGTTGGCTCATAATAAAGATTAGGTGTGTAAATTTTTGAAGCAAGTTATAATAATATACGCTGTGCAGACTCAGTAAAGATAAGTTAGTTGTTCTCTTAGATCCAATATTGTATTAACTATAACCTACATTTCCTAGTTATATCAGGTGAGAAAAGAGCTTGTTGTAGCAATATGACATTTATATAATTTAGACCATTCAACCCAATGGACGAGTAATGCGCGAGTAATGAGTAATGGGTTGAATGGTCTAAGTTATCTAGTGACACGGAGCACCCTTTCGATTTTTGACGTCGTCTTACCGTGTTGCATTAAAGGGCTCGTAACTGGGCTATAATAATTGCATATTACTTGAAATCTCGCTGAGAAATAGTAGCCCAGCCACATTGCCAGTGATACTTTTGTTGCAATATTATTGTGCAAAACCTTGCAGATTCTGGCAATGATCTTTTAATTATGTCGCCGAGGATTTAAAGTCCATATATACACACACACACACATATATATAAATATATATATATATATATATATATATATATATATATATATATATATCATAATACTTTAAATTTCAAAGAAAGCAAATAAATAGTACTCATTAGTTTTGATAAAATTATTTTATCTTACGCCAAACCTGTTCACCAAATCTGCTTTGTAGTTATTCCGTTAAGGATACACGAGGATACGTAATTAGCAGTTTACTATTCCTTTGCCCAATCGTCCTCGGGGTCTGAAGGCAAAAAAATGCAGTCGGTCTGAGGAGGACTCTCCCAAAGACCAGCCCAGGAAAGCTGTGAAGCTAGCAGCGGGAGAAAAGAAGCTCAGCTTCAGTACCGTAGCTGGCTCCGCGTGTGTGGGCATTCTCCTTTCAAATCATATGAGCGTATAACAGATGAGGATGGCCAACTGAGCACTTACACAGGTTATCACTGTGACATCCTGTGAGGCGCAAGACCGAAATTATCGGGTTTCACCAAAAAGCCAGGTTGAATTTTGTCAACGTGCCTGAACGAGGCAAGCTAGGACTGGATTGTGGGTGAAGTCGGAAAACTGAAACCCTGGGCAGAGGTAAAGCTCTCAATAACACCTGAGGGTGAACTGCCTAATCCTCAGCTAGTTTTTTTTATAGAAGGAGGGTGAAAAAGGAGCACATAGTCCACCTGATGGTAAATGAATGCTGTGGCCCGTAGACATCTGCATTCAACTTCGATTAAGGATCGGATGCAGATGCGTTGTCACTCCTGAGGACTAAGACGGAAAGCCTCCTTTCCATTAAAAAAGGGTCTTCAGATCTCTAAATTTACCATATAAAACACAGCAGTATTAAGCTGCTAATTTACGTTTGTATTCTGTGAGAGCGTGGTCCTTCCCCGGTCGAGACGACCTATTCGTGCTACAACCATAATATGGCTGCAGCGTGACTCTACAACGTATAAAAATCATATCTATTACATGTATACCCTGCAGCGAACCTGATTCTCCATTAGAGGTGGTTGTGCTGTTGAAGGCACACAAATAAAGGGCTCCATACAGAGCTCTGCAAAATTGGTTCCCAGTAATATTTTTTCTGGACGACCCATCGGCCTAGGCTATCTGGGCGGCAGGCGGCAGAGTTGTCTTTTGTTTTAAAATGATCTTTTAAGATCAGGGGTGGATCTCACGTGGTAATGGAGCCCAAATCACCCCGAATAGATTATTCCCAGCCCTATCAATTCACTGAGTGAGCCTTGAAGGTCGTCGTTAAGAGTAACTGAGACCCAAGGCGCTGATCTCGCCTATCTGCCTCGCTGGGTCAACGGCTTCTGCTGATATCGGCCAGGGGTAAGGGAAAGGGAGCTAGGAGGGGCAGAAGGAAAGATGTGGTGGGGGCCAGTAAAGGACGTCTCAGTCGTCAGGAAGCAAAACTGACCCTTGCCCCCTATGCCTATAAATGGTTAACCTTAAAGGTAGGACTAGGGACTTCATGAAAAATCTTCACCTTGCGGCAGCTGCTTCTGCCGTGGTGGAGATTCGTTTACAATAAAAAAGTTGAACTTTTAGCTTTTCCAGAGTACTTCAACGACGACCTTGTAACAGTCCTTATAAATCTCAATACACAGGGGCCAGAGTTATCAATTTCTCAGCCTATCTTCCGGGAGAGAACTCAGATTCTGCCATCCAGTTGGATTGCACGGCGGAGTTTGTGTAAAAACGCAACGCCAAACTTGTGGTGGATTGCGATGCTAATGCTCAACATAGCCTGGAGAAGTACTAACATCAACGCAAAAGGTGAGTTACTTTATGATTTTCTCATCTCCGATCGCCATCGGGTGTCGTTTTCAATAATCACATAAACTAAAATAATTGCACAAATTCGACGGCTGGTTGAATAGATGAAATGGAACGGGAAAGGGTTGCTCAAACGATCTCAATTGCGTTGAAGTAATTATACTTTTAATAACGAATAAAACTAAAACCTTCCATCGAGAACAAATGAAAATAATAAACTAATGTTTTTTAATTATTATTAAAAAACATTAGTTTATAGGGTCAGATAACACAAATTAAGAAACAATGCATTAATTATGTCACCGTTACCGTTACAGTCGATCAGACGTCCACTGCTGAATATATTCTTCCACTCTCGTAGATTACCTCACAGCCTCATATAAAAAATTACAATATATAAAGTTATATAATTTTTATACAAACTGGTTTTAGATAACCGTATAGTGGTGGTATAATAATATCTGTATCTGTATTTTATATAGGAAAAGCGTGACAAATGAGCACACAGTTCACCTCATGAATGAAAAAATGACGGTAAATAGATGCTGTAGCCCATAGATAAAAGAAGAAGACTAAGATGGAATGACTTGTTTCCAATGAAATAGTTCTGCAGATCTCTACACTCACCATGCAAAACGCTGATATTCTGTGACCCTACCCGGTTCTAACCGACTTGTTCTTGCTACCGTATAATGCGCTTATATTAATACCATTTAGTAGTGATAGACAAAGAGAAGATCTTCGGGCAAGATGTTAAGCCCGGGGAGCGGCCAACGCACCATGTTTTATTTCGGAGATGTTCTATATATAGCGCGTTAACTTCAAAACATTGATAGCGCAACTTAGGCT